AAGAAGAAGAAGGATTTTCTACCTAAGTCAGATAAAGCCACGGGACAGAAACACTGAGTAGGAAATAGATAGATGGATAGATAGATAGACAGACAGATAGATAGATGGATGGATAGATATGCATACAAATAAATAAACAACAAACAATGCCTATCAGAACCACTTAGCTGATTGGTTCTTCTATGTTCTAAAGAGCCTGGCCCCTGAGGTGAGGATTTTTTTATGCTTTTTTATGCTTTGGCACATGATGTTTTTTTCTTAGAGTCTATTGTGTTTATTTTTTAAAATGCAGTTGATTCAATAATAATAATAGTTAGCATTCATATAGTGCTTTAACATTTACAAAATGGCTTAGAAATACCCTATTTTTATCCTCACAACAACCCTGGGAGGAGATTGCTATTATTATTTTCATTTTAGAGCTAACGAAACTGAGGCAGAGTGAGGTTAAGTGACTTGCCCAAGTTCACATAGCTATTGTGTCCAAATCAGCATTTGAACTCAGGTCCTCCTGACTCCAAATTAATGTTCTATCCACCATGCCACCTAGCTACCTGTAGAAAAGAAAATGTGAACTTAAAGGCTCTCCTCCAATGAGGTGTCCCTCAAATGTATGTAAAAATTACATAAAGTACCGTGGAAGCTACACAGCAGGGATATCCATGTTCATAGGCCATGTATGTTGATTAGAAAATCATTATCATTATCGTCTGAGGTACAATTCAGAGAGATATACGCTCAGCAAAGGAGTTTGCCTTCTATAAAGTGCATCCAGAACACGGTCCAAGTTGAGGACTGGTAAGGTCCTCCAGACACTCCTTTGTGACATTGTGGTGATAGTATTAGAAGTTAAGCCAATGCATAATCTTACAAAAATAAATGTTGAAAACTATCTTTACATATAATTGGAAAAAACAGAATATTATTAAGTGCAAAAAAAAAAAGTTAATGTTGACCCAGCATCCCATTGTTCCCAGCCCTACTTATCAACCAGTGTTGGGGGAGGCTGTGGTGGGGAAGGAGACACCAAGTCTGCAGCTTATTGTCACGCACCCCTACATGCAAATTGTCACATTCTTGCTATGTTGAGGAGGAACTGAGATGCAAGGGCCCAATCCCTTTTGCTGAGATGGACCTATCTAAATTGTGTTAAGTTACCTAGGTAAGCTTGAAGCTACTGCTGATCTTCAGCGATCAGGCAGTCAACTGTGATACTGCCTTGATGTGCTTATAATAAAATCCTTTTAATTTAAGTTAATTCTTTTTGTCTTGAGTTTTGCCCTGTTAATCAGAGTGAAAGCCCAAATGAAGAGTTTTCCTGACCAAGTCCCAAAACATGACAGAGCCTGCAGGATGAGATCAACAATGATTCCAAAATGTTCAAGCTAACAAAACAAGTGGATGAAAACATCTACAATTCTTTTTTCCAAACTACAGTTTATACTTGGATGGGTAAACTAGAGAACTTGTCGCTGTTATTTTTGTTCAGTCATTTTTCAGGTGTATCCAGCTCTTTGGAACGCGATTAGGGGTTTTCTTGGCAAAGATACTAGAGTGGTTTGCCATTCCTTTCTCTAGCTCATTTTACAAATGAGGTAACTGAGGCAAACAGAGTTAACTGACTTGCCCAGGATCACGTAGCTAGTGAGTGTCTGAGGCCAGATATGAACTCAGAAAGATGAGTCTTCCTGACCCCAGATTCTTCACTCTATACATTGCACCACCTAGCTGCCATCCTGTAGAACTTAGGACACTTCAAAGAGACAATGAGTTGGGCCTACAATTGAACAGGAGGAGAAGCGATAACTGGATTGTCTTTGGAAAATGACAACTATTTTAATGACTCCCACCTTTTCCCTGAAACAAAGGCCCATCTTTTTAATACCAAAATTGTTCTGGTGTTTTACTATGGCTACAAGTCATAGCATGCCACGGTTCTCAAAGAATTTAAATTGAAGATCATCCAAAGGGCCCTAGAAAAGGGCTTATGTGGTGAGCATGAACACGGTGTCATGCAGCACAAAGTAGAAATTACAAAGGAAAAGCAAAAGATTGTTATCAAAGACATATATGAGAAAAAAAGAGGATGGTCACATGATTGACATCCCACGTATTCCACAAATGTCCTTGTAATGTCAAGATGATAATAATAATAATAATAGCTAACATTTATATAGCACCTACTAGGTGCTAGGCATTGTGCTAAGCACATTACAATTATTATCTCATTTGAGCCTCACAACAACCCTAGGAAGAAGGTGCTATTATTATCCTAGCTGCCTAGAAAAGAGCGAAACCCCTCTCATGCTGAGTATGCTCCCTAGGATGAATTTATGGAAGAAATAGATAAGACTAACACAAAGTGGAAGATAAGGATGAATGAATAAATGAAAAAGCATTTGTTAAGCACATATTATACATTCCAAGCACTGTGTTAAGTTCTGGGAATATGACTATAAAAAGGAAGACAGTCCCTGCCCTCAAACAGCTTACATTCTAATAAGGAAAGATAACATATATAAAGAGGAGGAGGAGGATATGCACCAGGAATTGTGCCCATTTTTGCAAATAATTAATTAATTAATTGGTTGATTTTTATAACACTTTACAATTATTATCTCATTTGATCCTCACAACAACCCTGAAAAGGTAGGTGCTTTATAATCCCCATTTTAGAGATGAGAGGCAAACAGAGTTTGAGTGACTTGCCTAGGGTCACATAGCTAGTAAATGTCTGAAGTCAGATCGGAACACGGATCTTCCTAAGTCCAGGCCCAGTACTCTATTCACTATGCCAACAAATATTTAACAACCACCTCTTTGAAAAAGTGTGACACACTTTTAAATTTAATCTCTGTTATTAACAGTTTCTTAATCACTTTGTTTAGTCTAGACAATAAACAAAACAGTAAATTCAAGCCCTGATTTGTAGCATTGACTGATTTCTGTTCTCAGGAGCCAATAGCTGCTGGCACCATGATATAAGGAAGTGTTGCCCTGGAAGGGAGCATTTTGGATGAGGAATTTATAAGGATAGTGAGTAGAGCCACGAGGCAATGGACTAACAATTTGATTATTCATTTGTATCATTGGAGGAAATACCAATGTTAATGACATCTTAGACCCATTTGAGCACTGAGGAGGAAATCATGAAATCATGGAGCCCCTGCCCCTGAGCTGGAAAGATATACCTGCCAAGTGGTAATCCTGCCCCTATGTGAAGAGCTCCAGGAGGAAGAAACCATTGCTGCCCATAGAGGCTCATTCCACATTTGGACAGCCCTGATTATTTAAGAAAGGGGCATTTTCCATATATACATTTATTCATATATGGAGAACATGTATATATACACACATATATGTGTACGGCTTGTTGTTGATGTTCATTCATTTCAGTTTTGTCTGACTCTTCATGACCCCATCTGGGGTTCTCCTGGCAAAGATACTGGAGTGGTTTGCCATTTTCTAGCTCTTATGTATGTATGTATGTATATGCTTATACATGTACACATATACAATATATGTGCTATACATATATTATATACACAGATAACATGCATATTATATATGTACACCCATACATGTGCACATATATCTAGTTATATCTTTATATACATACATGCAGTGTAATATCATATACATGTGTATATTATATACACTATTATATATGTATGTTCACACATATATACATATACATATTTATATGTGTGTGTGTTTGTATATGTATGTATGTGTATATACATATATATATTATATATATATATATATACATATACACAAGAGGGATTGTGTGTGTGTGTGTGTGTGTGTGTGTGTGTGTGTGTGTGTGTGTGTGTATACACACAAAGAAGGATGTATCTTTTCTTGTTTCTGCCTTCTGGAGTCAAACCAAACCTCCCCAATCCCTCTTCCACATGACAGCACTTGAAAGACTTAAACTTCTCTGTCTCCCTTGATTTCCCCAGTTCCTTCTACCTATTCTCATATGACATGGACTCAAGGCCCTTCGCCGTGCTAGTTTCTCTCCTTTAGATGGCAGTCAAGTTTACCAATGTCTTGCAACTGTGACGCCAAGAAGCAAAGATGGAGTATGACCAGAACTGACCAGAGAGGGACTATCTATCACCTCTTATTTCTGGAAGCAAGCCTCTATTAACTTGATTGGCTACCACATCTCACTGCTAACTTATATTGAACTTGAATTGCACTAAAACTCCCAGCTCTTTTTCTGACCATGTGCTGTCTAACCATCCTGCTTCCATTTTATACTGTGAAGTTGATTTATTGAACCAAAGTATAAGATTTTTATGTTTATTCCCAATGGATTTCACCTTGTTAAGTTCAAGTAAAATCAAATAAGGTAATGTATAAGGTGCTTTTTAAACTTTAAATCCTATATAAATGTCACATATTATTGTAATTACGAATTACATCTATGTCTTTCTTATAACATGCATTTCAGACAGTGACCTGTCTCTTTGGTTTTCTTGATATAGTCTCCAGCTGAACAAAATTAGGGATTTGTGTAAGATGAATGACAATGATAAATTGTCATCATCAAAAAATTGTTTTTCTGAAATATCATTTCCTCAAATTAATCATCTCATTATTTTATGAATCACTTAGTTCCTCTGTCCTCACTCAAACTGACAGAATTCTCCAAAGAAAATTATTCTTGATGTTGCCCACTTAAAATTGCAGTTTCAGAGAGAGTAGATAGACAAAAGTTTCAAGCATACCTTCTCTGTCCCTCAGCCACATACAAAGACCACTGTGGTAGACCATTTGAGGTTGAAGCAAGCTAGATCTGAACATTCTTTAAAGCCAGCCAGGCTTTTAATACACTGACCAGACTGGATTCGCCAGGGAATGTTAAAATGCTTCCAACTTTCTGTAACACAGGCACTTTTCTGGACAATTTAACAACCCCATCTGGGTCTGAGTTGTTGCTTTTCTAATCATAGCTAACCAACTTTTAGACCTCTAAATACAGTAGTTACCTGGAGCAGCTTTTACATAGCAGACTTCTTTTAAAAAGCAGCATCCTAGTTTCTTGCACTGGTCTCTTGAGACATTGTAATCACATATGTCAAGAATGCGACTATCACATACTGCAACAAACACATAAATACACATTGTAATCACTGAAAACAAAGCCTTGAACTCCATAGAAGCTTTATATTTTATTCTGGAGGAAGCAGTTACCGGGAAGGTTTTGGGTTTCTGGGGGATTTTTTTGTTGTGTTAATTATGCATCATACAAATCTCACTTTGAAACCAAGATCTGGAATGAATTAAATTTCTGAAGAAAATAATGTCAAGTTAATTATACAGAATAATACATGGTCCTCTAACGATTAAGAAGATAATATATTTCAGTTAAAGAGTGTGCCAAGCAGAGTACTCCACAAAGCAAAGTAGAAAACAAAGAACTAATACAATTAGATTGGGGAGTTCAAGTTGTAATGTATAATTAATTCAACATTTAAGCATACGGTAAGTTAAAATTATCAACATGGGCTGTGGATTATTTCAGGATTTTTAGGCCGTGTCAAAAGGACAGCAAGTTTTATTCCCATTTTGACAAGAAGGAAGAAAGATAATGAATGTGCAGAGCACTGTAGGAGAAGATTAATTAAAGGAAGAAAAATGAACAGAGACACTTCTTGGCAAATGACCATTTTCAACACATTACAAGGGAAACATTTTTATCCAGAAGGATTTGGTTCCCCAAACTGGGAGTGGGAAACAGTGATTTGGCCTATGAATGAGAAGTCCAAAATGAAGAAGCCCTAAGTGAAACAGCTGAAATAGACTGTCAGGGAAAGGAGCAGGAATAAACACCAGGTTCAGGAAGAGCAAACAGAAGGCACTGCGGGAAACTTCTATAGAGGAAACGACTTTCTCACAGAACAAAACCCATATTAATTTGGTCTAGAACAAAGCATCACTTGTATCAGTCCGGCAGGTCTGGGCCAAAATACATCTGGCGGTCTTGACTTCCCTGCACTATGAACTTGCATTAAAGGGGAAAGAAAGTTTCCAACCTCCCTCCCCTACACTCTCATCATCATCATCCCAGAAGCTTTGCTCTGACTCTGAAGAATTTCCATCCAGCACTCTTTTAGTCAGTCCTCTCCTCCCTAAAGAATGGTGACTCCATTTCCCTCACATAATTGCACCCCTCCCTCCCAGGTTAGCTGAGTGACCACCAGACAAACCCTTCAGCCTAGGAGAAACTTGTCCTAGCTCCTTTTCAGCTACAGATTCACAATGCAGCATCTGAAAGGAATCCTGGGAAAGCCATAGAATTCCATTCCCCTTACCTACTTTACCCCCACTAGAGTAAGGAGGAGGATACAGTACTCACCATTAGTTGCTTCATTCATAAAGCAAATTTGTTGTTGTTGTTGATTAGTTGTACCCAACTCTTCATGATCCCATTTGGGATGGTTTGCCATGTTCTTCTCCAGCTCATTTTGAGAACTGAGGCAAAGAGGGGTAAGTGACTTACCCAGGGTCATACTGCTAGTAGGTTTCTGAGGCTGGATTTTAACTCAGGACTCCATGGCTGGCATTCTAATCATTGTACTATCTAGCTGCCCCAAAGCAAATATATCTAAATATTAATTGTAGGTGATGATTTATCAACCATTTAATTTCAGCCAACAGTCTCAGGAAAGTGGGTCATCGGATGTTTTTTTTTAATTTTCCTTCACAGTAATGAAACCTAAAGTTTATTTTCCCCAAAAAATCACCCCGTTCATCTACAATGAAAAAAAAAGGAATAAAAGAATTCTCATCTGTGTATCTGTATTTAAGATCCAAACATAGTATTCAGGCTGTCACTCTTTTTAAAAATCAAGCCTCATTTCCTCTTTGCATGTGGGAATTCTCCTCACTCATCTGATCTCAAAAAATGCAATCAGTCAATCAACAAGCCCTTATTAAGTACCTACTATGTGCCAGACAGGGCAGCTAGGTGGGGCAGTAGATAGAGTGAGGGGCCAGAGTCAGGAAGACTCATCTGGACTCAGACTCTTAATAGCTGTGTGACCCCGGGCAAGTCGATTAACCTTGTTTGCCTCAGTTTCTGCATCTGTAAAATGAGCTGGAGAAGGAAATGGCAAACCATTCTATTATCTTTCCTAAAAAAAATCCCAAATGGGGTCACAGAGAGTTTGACATGACTGAAATGAATGAACAACAAAAAATATGCCAGGCACTGAGTTAGGTGGTAGGGATAAAAAGACATAAATGAGCCCCCAAAGAATTTAAGATATATTCTATCTTCTGGCTGGATCCTTAGTCATTGTTTTTGTCTTTCTTCCCCCTTTATCTTGGCTCCTTATCTTTCCTTCTTAGGAAATTTTGTTTTTTATCTTCTCTCTCCTTCCCTATTCTTTTCTCTCTACATTTACAAATCTGGTACAGTTGCATTACAGGACACAATAGCTTTGTTTATCGATGTTTAGTGTTTTGTTTCGTTTTTTTCCCATTCTCTCAATCCAAATGAGATTAAAATACAAAAGTAATCCCTTTAGAAGTATGGACACAAAGTGGGAGAAGGGTGTGTGAAAATGAGTGATCATAGGGAAGGAGGTGATAAGAAGAGAAGGCAGGAGGGCCAGTCATCTCAGAACAAGCCATCAACTCTGAAATGGCAGATTACTTTAGTAGCTAAATCCAGCCATAGAAACACACAGAATTGGCAGCCACTTATGTAGTGTGAATTCTGTGTCTCTGGAGAGAAAAAAATAAAGGAGAGAATAAAGAAAAACATTCTCCTTTAAGAGTAAGCCAGGTAACAGCAGTTAAGGAGGAAAAGGAACTGAGATAGTATGTGATCTAAGTCACAAACAAGGAAGACATGGGGAGGCAGGACTGACTGCCAAGATTCAGAGACACTGAGGTCCAGTTTTTTCACCACCTCTCTTAACCTTGACTTGGCGAATTTCCCCATTATATCTGGACACATGTATGGGACTTGACAAAAACCGATCACACAAAACTGTGAATGTGCTCATTAAATTTAATTCCCATTCTCTTAACTTGAATTATTTAGCTCAAATATTCAAATAAACTCTCCTAATCATTTAAGGAGATCATAACATTTTAGGGTTGAACTTCTATAATAATTCCCACGTCCCTCCCTCAACAACTTTGTCTTGGCAAATATCATCACAAAACCTGGCTGAGTCAGAGAAGAATTATTTATACTTTTCTTTTTTAGCCTCAATCATAAGTCACAAAAGAACTTCTGCCTTCCAGGGAAATTCCCTTAATGCTGCTCTACTCTTTCCATTTCCCAAAGGCCTCTTGGGCAACCTCAAGAACTTTGTATTCTTGGACCTGCTCTTTCTTACCATTTCCTTGAGCATGGTCCTGTGGATGGAGCTCTGGGCTGAGTCACAATTCTGAGCTCTAGTCTTTGCTCTAATGCTAGCTACCCATGTGATCTGGAGAAAGTTTCTTTACCTATCTGGGTCTGGTTCTTCACTTGCAAAATAAAAGAGATTAGAAAAGATGGTGGACTTGGAAGGGATGTCTCCACATTCAATGAGTCCAACTCTCACATTAAACATGAATCTCTCTATACTATCTCGAACAAATGATCACTCTTTGCCAGAATAATCCAGTGATAAGGGATTCATTCCAGAGACAGAGGCATCCTATTCCATTTGGGCATAGTCATAATTATTTTCCTAATATTAAACCGATATCTGCAGCAGTCTTGTGTTGTTCAGTAGTATCTGACTCTTTGTGACCCCGTTTGGGGTTTTCTTGGCAAAGATACCAGAGTGGTTTGACATTTCCTTCTCTAGATTATTCTTCAGATGAGGAAACTGAGGCAAACAGGGTTAAGTGACTTGCCCAGAGTCACCAAGCTACTGTTTGATTTTGATACTATCCCATACAAATGATCACTTACAAAGATCAAATCACAAAGATTTGAACCCAGGAAGATGAGTCTTCCTTACTCTAGGTCCTGACTGTATCCACTGAAACACCTAGCAGCAGTCAACTGGATCTCCAACAACTAGTGAGTCTGCTGCTCTGTTAATTAGAGGTTAACCAAACCTAGGCCAGGAGCCTGTAGAGCTCAGATCTGGAAGGCATCAGTAAGACTTCACTATAGCTCAAAGAATTTAGGAACACTGAAAGTATGTAGGCTTCCAGTCTTGGCCACCCCTGGGCTCCCTGAATAACACTGGACTAAATACCTTGGGGAAACAAAATCAGGAATGCAAACGAGAACCAAACAAGCCTTTCCCTCCAAAAGTGGGCTGAGCCTGATCCTAACACAAAGACCCAATTCGAGAAGGCTGGACTCAAACCACCAGCACCACCTTGACCCCCTCCTCTTCTAAGACCATGATGGAGACAGTTCAAGACCTTTAACTCAAAAGCTGTGGAAAAAGCAGTGCCTCTCACACCACTGGACCTATTTCCAGTCCTGCCCCTTCCAGCCACCTTTGAGGGAAGCAATCATCATGGAGAGTTTGGCTGCCTTTCTTACCCATAGCAGCTATCACTTATGGCAGGCAAACCCAAGCATCCTGGCCAAGGTAGCACTTTCCAGACCAAGCAGTGATCATTCTAAGAAACACCCCCTGTGGAGATGCTATCTGGCAAATGTATTTATAATGTTGCTACCATAGCTTCTGAAGATGCAGAGCAGAAAGTCCTCACTATCAGGATCCATGACACTTGACAAAGAATTGGAAACTGAGGGGATGCCAAACAATTGGGGAATGGATGAACAAGCTGTAGTATATGACTGTGATGGAATACTATTGTCCTATAAGAAATGATGAGTAGGATGCTTTCAGAAAAAGCTGGGAAGACCTATATGAACTGATGTAGAACAACATGAGAAGAACCAGGAGAACGTTATACACAGTAACAGCAATACTGTGATGATCAAATGTGAAAGCCTTAGCTATTCTCAGTAATACAATGATCCAGACAATTCTGAAGGACTTAATGATGAAAAATGTTATCCACTTCTAGTGAAAGAACCGAGGGAGTCTGAATGCAAATCAAAGCACACATTTTTACTTTTTAAATTTTTCTTGGGCTTTTTTTTTTGGTCTACATTTTCTTTTGC